TCACTGCTTGTGAATGCAACTCCTTTGCCTGTGCTTTGAGGCCATCAGCCAGCCCTACTCAGCTTGCCGTAGTTAATGCTCTTCGTTCCTTAACTCAGGTTATTTTTTGCTATTAGACCTACTACTTTTTTTTTTTTAAGCTATATTTATTTATTTGAAAGGCAGGATTATCAAGAGGCAGAGGCAGAGAGAGAGAGAGAGAGAGATCTTCCATCTGGTGGTTCACTCCCCTAGCTGTGCCAGTCTGAAGCCAGGCGGCAGGGGCCTAAGGACTTGTGCCATCTTTCACTGCTTTCCCAGGCCATAGCAGAGAGCTGGACGGGAAGTGGAGCAGCCGGGACTTGAACCTGCGCCCGTATGGGATGCTGACTGGCACTTCAGAAGGTGGCTTCACCCGCTGCGCCGCAGCACCAGTGCCAGACCTGTTACTCTTACTCCAGTCGTCATATCTGTGTTCCCATCTTGTGCCTTGATTGTCCACATTCCGTTCCCTTCTCATTCCTTTGCCAGTGTAAATGTCAGTACTTTGTATATTTACAACCTTTAAAAGGAACTTGAGGTACGTCCACCTCTTGCGGATATGGTATCTTAGAGAAATCACCTCTGTGTCATTCATTTGGCTACTTCCTGTGTGGCCTAGTTCTGGTGTTTGGAGCACCTGTACCACTCAAGTTCTGTGCTGGGGTGTTGCTGTTTTGTTCTATAGCAATTTTGCTCACTTGTAGCATTTCTTCTGAATATTATGTAAATTCTCCAAGGGCAGAGGACAGTTTTAATCCTTTTACAGGGCTAACTATGAAGTTGATTTTTAGTATGAGGTATCCTCAAAAATGCGTATTGTGAGAAACTGCATGGATTTCATTTTTGGAGTTTTTTTTTGCACCAAAATAAACATCTCTTTTAATGGCATTTTCCCACAAACTTTTTCAAGTGTCCTCGTGTAAGGATCTGCAGTCCCTTCATTGAAATCTTGGGGCCAGATGTATTTGGGAAATCCAGTTTCTTTTATATTTTAGAAGGGCATGTGGCTGGTGTTGTGCAGTGGACTGAGCTGCCACTTTGGACACTGGCATCCTGTTTTGGAGTGCCCGTTTGAGTTCCAGCTGCTCTGCTTCCGACCTGGTTTCTCGAGTGCTAATGCACCTGTGAAGGCAGTGAATGAGGTTCCAAGTACTTGGTCCCCCTGCGAGAGATCAGGGTGGAGTTCCAGGCTCCTGGCTTCAGCCTGGCTCAGTCCTGGCTGTTGTGGCCATTGGAGAGTGCACCGGAGATAGAAGAGCAGTTTCTCTGTCTCTCTCTGTCTCTCCCTTTCTCTCTGTTGCTGTGCCTTTCAAATAAGTAAATAACTGAGTCTTTAAAAAATCTTCTAGAGGATAACACACTATATATACCTCACTACTTAACCAGCCCATCAGGGTCAAGGATAGCACTTTTTAATCAAATGCATTAACATTTTTGCTGTTGAACTTAATCTCCATTGGACCCTATATTTAAAGATTTCTATTTCTCTAGCAAACAGTTATTCACAGTAAAGTGGGATGAAAAAACTATAAATAGTCTCAGTATCCAGGTGAGATTTTGCTGCCAGATGAGTAGTGATGAAAGGTGGTTTGGAGGGAGTTTGGGTTTTCAGGACGGGAGTGGACTCTGGAGCCTCACTGCCTAAGTTATTCTGTAACCGTAGAGCCATTTGTGCTGCCCTGTGCCAATCCAGACTTCCCTCTGGGACCCAACTCCAGCTGCTCCTTTCCCCCCATTTCTCCCATTTCTCCCTCTCTCCCTCCCTCTCTTCCTTCCTTCCATTCATTCATTCATTTGAAAGGCAGAGTTACAGAGGGAGGGGGAGAGACAGAGATTTCTGTAGGCTGGTTCACACCTCAAATGGCTGCAGACAGCTGGGGCTGGGCCAGGCCAGAACCAGGACCCAGGAAAGACACCTAGGTCTGCAGTGTGGGTGGCAGAGACCCAAGCACGTGGGCCATCTTCTGCTTTCCCAGCTGCATCAGCAGGGAGCCTGATTGGAAGCGGAGCAGCAGGGACTCAAACTGGCACTTACGTGGGATGCTTGCATGGTGGGCTGTGGCTTAACCCACTGTTTCACAACGCCGGCCCCTTTCCCACTCCTTTCTGTCTCTCACTTTCCTCATGCCATTCCTCTATCTCCAGACTTCTAGTGTTGTACCGTTTCTTGGCCCCTAACATGTTTGTGAGAAGCAGTTATTTTTTCGTATTCCTAATGTCTCAATGATACTGCAGAACAGGTGTGGCGGTGTGGCAGTATGGCTTTTTTTTTTTTTTTTTAAGATTTATTTATTTATTTGAAAGTCAGAGTTAGAGAAGGAGAGGCAGAGAGAGAGAGAGAGGTCTTCCATCTGCTAATTCATTCCCCAGATGGCCTCAGTAGCTGGAGCTGCACCCATCCGAAGCCAGGAGCCAGGAGCTTCTTCCAGGTTTCCCACGCAGGTGCAGGGGCCCAAGCACTTGGGCCATCTTCTGCTTTCCCAGGCCATAGCAGAGAGCTGGATTGGAAGTGGAGCAGCCGGGACTTGAACCAGTGCCCATATGGGATGCCGGCACTGTAGGCAGCAGCTTTACCCGCTACGCCACAGCGCTGGCCCCGACAGCGTGGGTTTTGTGTGCTGGGGAAGAAGGCATTTCACTCCCTTCTAGACTGTCTCGTCAGGGAGTGCCACGGGGGCACTGAGTGATGGGAGAGCAGGCGTGGTGATGGCAGCCGGCTTAGCTCACCCGCTCCTGACAGGGCCAGGTGTTGGCCTGGGGGAAGTGGGCGTTCTCGGCCTGCGGGGGTTTGGCAGCCACTCAGAACCTTCTGTAATCTGCCTGTCTCCGCCTCAGACTGAGAACTCTTCTTGGACTGTTGCTCAGATGTCGGTTTCTTTTTTCTGTCTGAACTTAGGTGGTGCACCGTCCCATGAGCAGTGTATTTTCCTTTCTAGCTTCATGTATTTTCCTTCACATTCCTCTTAATGAGTGACATTCATCTTCATGTTGTGTGTTTAATTTTTACAGTATCCCTTGGTAGATCTGGTAGTAATATGAAATTGGAATTGGATATGACTTGTTAGAAGCACGTGGTTTTTGTTTTGTGTTTTAAAATAACTACTAGTTTTTTGCAAATACTGATGCCTGATGAAGTTGCCCAAATGAAGCCACACTAGCTAGCCTGTATTTGAGATACAAGTGGTAAGAATTAGGAATCCCAGAATGTTGAAGCTGGATGATTACATTGTTAAAACAGTGTTTTATAAATCAGGAAGCTCAAATCAACGAAGCAACAGAGAGGTTAAGTTTCTTGTCTAAAAGCACACAGCCAGGTAGTGATAAAACTTGAATTCTGCTTTTCTTGAAAAATTTTCAGTGCACGTCCTTCCTGTTTGGTGTTCGGTTCTTTTTCTCTTAAGCAAATTTAATACTTTCCCCAGGTTGGAAAGCCTCCTTGTACCTGGTTTCCACCCATGAGAGTAAACCTTGGTGTATAACATTGGTAAAAATATGGCTTTTGCAAAATATTTCTGACCAGTCAAATGACCAGAGAATGGTATATCCTTAGAGACTGCGTATCTCTTATGTTTATTTTTGCCAATATGAGTTATGCTTTTGTTGTTTAAAGATGAGTAAGCGTAAAGCATAATAAGCTGCCCTCTGTCTTGCGTGTGCATCTCCAACTGGAATACATGGGTAGACCATGCCATGTGGGGTTGGTAATGTTGAACGCCACACATTGTTTTCCTGTTTATCCTCTGCTGTGTATTGACTGAATTGTAGTAAGTAACACGAATTAGACAAAATGATGAAGCCAGACAGATGCCAGTTTTAATTTATGAGATTAGAAATTAGGCCTCCAGCTGGAGGCCTTTAATTATAAGGGGAAAACCAGGAAATTATCATTTAAACTCCAAACTGATGGGCTTTGGCCCTTTTGGTCTGCAGAGAGTAGTCTAAATCTGCAGGAAACGGTGCTTGTTCAGTCAGATAAACATTTATAGTTCTCTATTGCTTGTCGCTGAGCTCGAGTTACAGTCCCCAAGGGACTTTAACATCCACCTGTGACAGTGCTGGGCTCAGTGGTGTGTCAGGGTTTCCCCTTCTTTTCCATCATCACACAGTCTCTGTTTTCGAGTATGTGTGTGATTTAGGTGTCCTGTCTGTGCTCCTTGTTGTGACGACTCTGAACAAGTCACTTCACTGTCAAGGGCCTCAAGTTCCTGTAAAGTATAAAGAGATTGTGCTGTGAGAATCTCTTTGGGGGCAGGTCCTGTGGTGTAGTGGGTGAAGCCTCTGCCTGTGGCACCCATCCCATTTGGGTGCTGTTCGAGTCCTGGCTGCTCCACTTCCCTGCTAATGTGCCTGGGAAAGCAGTAGAAGATGGTCTAAGTCCTTGGGCCCCTGTACCCACGTGGGAGAAGAAGCTCCTGGCTCCTGGCTTCAGATTGGCCCAGCTCTGGCTGTTGCAGTCATTCGGGGAGTGAACCAGCGAAGGGAGAACCTCTCTGTCTCTCCCTCTCTCTGTCTGTAACTCTGCCTCTCAAATAAATAAATAAATCTTAAAAAAGAGATCTCTTTGTTCTCTAAGATTCTGTAATTCAAAAGAGTACTTCTCAATTGAGTACTTTTTATTTGCTATAGAAAGGGTTAGCAGTACCCATAACAGGAAAAAAAAAAAATCTGGAAACGTTGCTGCATTCGGTAACAAAAACAAGAACTTTGGCTTGGTTTTCTGGAACCTTGTGGTCAAGTTACATGGGGGTTTTGAAGGGACAGGGAGAATTTAGGGTAGATTTATCCAGTGCCACTGTTTATTCTTACTTATTTGTGCTCTTTAACTTTTTGGAAGGGTGTTTCTCTGTTTAATTTATAGAAGAAAAATGTGGATCTCTTATTCAAAGTCCTAGACCAGATGCCAAGGCGAAGATGCTGCCCTGTGTTTTGGTTTGATGTCGTACTGGCACAGCGTAACTCTTCCTTTTCTATTCTTCCAGCTTGGATTCACTTTCGGCAACGTGGTTGGGATGTATCTGGCTCAGAACTATGACGTAAGTGGCCATACCCTGTCCTCCTTGATGCCGTTTGACGGTTTCCCAGTGACTTACTGTTTGTTAAGGTGAGGCGTGCCCTCAAGCATGTTAGCCCAGTAGGTCTGAGGAAAACAGCCTACATTTTATAGAAAGATTTTTCTATTGTTCAAAAGATAATCTCTCAGTGGTGTCTATCCTCTGTGTCACCACAAGAGGGCAAAAGCCCATCGGTTTAGGTGATCTCAAGGTGATGCTAAGCACTGCTCAGTTTCTAGAGTAACATTAAGTTGGTGCTGACAATTTTCTGCAAAGTCATGTGAGGAGGGCATTTTTTTTTATTTTTTTTTATTTAGTAAATATAAATTTCCAAAGTACAGTTTATGGACTACAATGCCCCCCCCCCCATAATTTCCCTCCCACTCGCACCCCTCCCATCTCCTGCTCCCTCTCCCATTGCATTCACATCAAGATTCATTTTCAATTATCTTTATATACAGAAGATTGATTTAGTATATATTAAGTAAAGATTTCATCAGTTTGCACCCACATAGAAACACCAAGTGTAAAATACTGTTTCAGTACTAGTTATAACATTACTTCACATTGGACAACACATTAAGGACAGATCTCACATGAGAAGTAAGTACACAGTGACTCCTGTTGTTGACTTAACAATTTGACACTCTTGTTTATGGCGTCAGTAATCTCCCTAGGCTCTAGTCATGAGTTTCCAAGGCTATGGAAGCCTTTTGAGTTTGCCGACTTCGATCTTATTCCGACAGGGTCATAGTCAAAGTGGAAGTTCTCTCCTCTCTTCAGAGAAAGGTGCCTCCTTCTTTGATGGCCCCATTCTTTCCACTGGGATCTCACTCGCAGAGATCTTTCATTTATTTAGTGGTTTGGTTTTTTTTTTTTTTTTTTTTTTTTGTGGCCAGAGTGTCTTGGCTTTCCATGCCTAAAATACTCTCATGGGCTCTTCAGCCAGTTCCGAATGCCTTAAGGGCTGATTCTGAGGCCAGAGTGCTATTTAGGACATCTGCCATTCTATGAGTCTGCTGTGTATCCCGCTTCCCATGATGGATCATTCTCTCCCTTTTTGATTCTATCAGTTAGTATTAGCTTGTCTAGTCTTGTTTGTGTGATCCCTTTGACTCTTAGACATGTCAATGTGATCAATTGTGAACAGAAATTGATCACTTTGACTAGTGAGATGGCATTGGTACATGCAGCCTTGCTGGGATTGTATTGGAATCCCCTGGTGCATCCCCTGGTGCATTTGGGGCAAGTCCGATTGAGCATGTCCCAAATTGTATATTTCCTCCCTTTCTTATTTCCACTGTTATATTTAACAGGGATCACTTTTCAGTTAAAATTTAAACACCTAAGAATAATTGTGTGTTAATTACAGAGTTCAACCAACAGTACTAGAACAAAACAAAGAGAAAATACTAAAATGGATAAAGTATTACATTGTACATCACCCGTCAAGACAAGAGCTGATCAAGTCACTGTTTCTCACAGTGTCCATTTCACTTCAACAAGTTTCCCCTTTGGTGCTCAGTTAGTTGTCGCGGATCAGGGAGAACATATGATATTTATCCCTTTGGGACTGGCTTAATTCACTTAGCATAATGTTTTCCAGATTCCTCCATCTTGTTGCAAATGACCGGGTTTCATTGTTTTTGACTGCTGTATAGTATTGTATAGAGTACATGTCCCATAATTTCTTTATCCAGTCTACTGTTGATGGGCATTTGGGTTGGTTCCAGGTCGTAGCTATTGTGAATTGAGCTGCAATAAACATTAATGTGCAGACAGCTTTTTTGTTTGCCAATTTCATTTCCTTTGGGTAAATTCCAAGGAGTGGGATGGCTGGGTTGAATGGTAGGGTTATATTCAGGTTTCTGAGGAATCTGCAAACTGACTTCCATAGTGGCTTGACCAGTTTGCATTCCCACCAGCAGTGGATTAATGTCCCTTTTTCTCCACATCCTCTCCAGCATCTATTGTTGGTAGATTTCTGAATGTGAGCCATTCTAACTTGGGTGAGGTGAAACCTCATTGTGGTTTTGATTTGCATTTCCCTGATTGCTAGTGATCTTGAAAATTTTTTCTTTTTCTTTTTTATTTTTTTTTTTTATTTTTTTTATTTTAAACAGGCAGAGTGGATAGTGAGAGAGAGAGAGAGAGAGAAAGGTCTTCCTTTTGCCGTTGGTTCACCCTCCAATGGCCACCGCGGCCGGCGCGCTGCGGCTGGTGCATCGCGCTGATCCGAAGCCAGGAGCCAGGTGCTTCTCCTGGTCTCCCATGGGGTGCAGGGCCCAAGCACTTGGGCCATCCTCCACTGCACTCCCTGGCCACAGCAGAGAGCTGGCCTGGAAGAGGGGCAACCGGGACAGAATCCGGTGCCCCGACCGGGACTAGAACCCGGTGTGACGGCGCTGCAAGGCGGAGGATTAGCGTAGTGAGCCACGGCGCCAGCCTATCTTGAACATTTTTTCATGTGTCTGTTGGCCATTTGGATTTCCTCTTTTGAAAAATGCCTGTTGAGGTCCTTGGCCCATCTCTTAAGTGGGTGTGATGAGGGAATTTAAAGAGTAATCGGATCATCTTTTCAGCCCCTGCCGCCCGAGGTCGAGATGTCTAGATTTTGGAGGTAGATCCGTTAGCCCAGTGCATGGAAGGAGGACCCGGTTGTGTATCAGCCTCTCTTTATAGAGGGAAACATGAAAAACAGGTGGCACAGTTGCATAGGAATGGGAACCCTGGAAAGCTGTTTTGAAAAGACAGGTGAGAGGAGCCAGTGCTGTGGCGTAGTGGGCAAAGCCACCGCCTGCAGTGCCAGCATCCCATGTGAGCGCTGGTTCGAGTCCTGGCTGCTCCACTTCTGATCCAGCTCTCTGCTATGGCCTGGGAAAGTAGTAGGAGATGGCCCAAGTCCTTGAGCCCCTTCATGTGCATGGGAGACCCGGAAGAAGCTCCTGGCTCCTGGCTTCAGATTGGCCCAGCTCCAGCCATCGTGGCCATTTGGGAAGTGAACTGGTGGATGAAAAACCTCTCTCTGCCTCTGATTCTCTGTGACTCTGCCTTTCAAATAAATAAATAAATTCTAAAAAAAGACAAACAAGAACTGGTGTGTAGGTTGAGCCATGGCTTGCCGTGCCGGCATCCCATATTAGAGTGCTGGTTCAAATCCTGCTGCCCCAGTTCCAGTCCATCTCCTTGCTGTTGCCCCTGGGAAGGCAGCAGCAGATGGTTCAAGTGCTTAGGCCCCGCCACCCACGCTGGAGACCTGGATGGTTTCTGGCACCTGGCTTCAGGCTGGCCCAGTTCTGGCTGACGCGGCCATCGGCCATTTGAGGAATAAACCAGTGGATGAAAGATCTCTCTGATGCTCTCTTTTCAAGTAAAGCAGTAAATCTTCAAAAGACAAGAGAAACTTACTGATTTTTCAGTAGTTTTGTGGTAAAGCTTTGGTGGGACCGGCATTATGGCACAGCAAGTTGAGCCACGGCCTGTGATGCCAGCATCCCACATGAGAGCCAGTTCAGGTCCCGGCTGCTCCACTTCCGATCTGGCTCTCTGCTAATGTACCTGGGAAGGCAACGAAAGATGGTCCAAGTGCTTGGGCCCCTGCACCCATGTGGGAGACGTAGATGAGCTTCCAGGCTGCTTGCTTCAGCCTCACCATCGTCGGCTGTTGTGGCCAGCTGGGGAGTGAACCCGCTGACGCAAGATCAGGCTCACTGCCACCCTCCAGCCCCGCCGTGTCCCTCTCTGTAACTCTGCCTTTCAAATAAATAAATAAGCCTTAAAAAAAACTTTCAATGTGGCAAAGGAATTTCCTTTGTTGCCTTCCTGAGCCGTGGCGTGTAGGCAGGGCTTCATTAACTGATGTCATATTTACTGTTGTATGTACAACTTGGCACTGGATCGAGGGGCTGGAGTAGCTAGTCTGGCTACCAGAGAGGGAGCATAGTTAATATACAACTTGTGGTATCGACTGTGTGCAGTTATGAGCAACTCTGTTCACAGGAATATCGAAACCTGCAGAGGCACTTATCTTTGAAGATGGGGAAGTAAAAGAATATTAGGTAGATGCAAAACTATAATAATCTTTTTTCTTTTCCAAGATACCAAACTTGGCTAAAAAGCTTGAAGAAATTAAAAAGGACTTGGATGCCAAGAAGAAACCCCCCAGTTCGTGAGACTGACGCCGGCACTGCCTTCTGGATACACTGCTTCTGTCTCTGCCGTCGGATCCCAAAGCATCTGGGCTCCTCTCCAGCCTCAGCAGTCGTCTTTGCCCAGTCCCCAGGTGGCCTCGGGAGAATGGGGCCGCCTGACGTCGCCAGCGTCCTCGCCTTCTCCCGTGTCCTCCTGCCAGCTGCTTGGGAATCCTGAGGCTGGGATTGTGGTGCTAGATTAGTAAACATGACCTTTAATTAGTGGTCCGTCCCTTATTCTTTGGGATTTCTACTACCTTTTGTCAAGAGAAAAATTGATAAGTTTTGTATAGCTGATAAAATAGATATAATACGCGTTTTATGGTTTAGCAGTTATAATGGGTGCTTTTTAAACATTCATTACTAAATTCTGTTTTGAAGTACTTAATATTTAGAAGACAGTTTTTTATGAATTATCCATTTGCTTTATACTGTCAAGAAGCTCCATAGTTGATAATTTAGCCAGTAAATTAATTTACTATTCATTAACTAGGAAACTATATTCTAAGAATCCTGTCTGGAATATGCAAAATAATGGCCTTTGTCTGAGTTCAGTCCATTTCATATGCAGGTTTTCCTTAATGATGTATTTGATCTGACTTGTCTCTCAAAAGAATCATACCTGGGGTTATAGGAGCATTGACATTACATGATGGATAAGTGAGAAGTTGACTATAAAGGAAATTTTATGCCTTTTCATATTAAAAAAGTATGTCACAACTTTATAGTAATTATTATAACAAAAATGGGTCCAAATGTACAATAAAATCAGCCTCCCAAGAAGAATTTCTGCTTTTCTTTACAACTGCTGCTTTATTCTGAAATCAAAAATTGCCCTTGTGATTTGTCAGATATCAAGTAATCAGTCCGTATTTTTTTGATTAAAAAAATTTGCATACTTAATTTTCCCCATAGGCCAAGACGCAGAAGTTGGTTTAGTATAGAGTCACTCTCACACCCCCCGGTTCCTGGCTCCTGCCTCCACATCAGTAGCATGCCATGTGCTCCCTGAGCAACAGTCTAAACAAGCGATAACAGCCGCACGTGAGGTCTGCCCCTGGCCTTGACTTGTGTTTGGAGGCCTTTCCATGTCAGTCTGTGAGGCACAAGGAGCCTCAGCCTTGTTGGCTGCATGACTGGATATATCGCGAGTTGTTTAACCTACTCCGGGTGAATGCTTTGTTTCTTTTGCTCTTACAGTGATAACTTTAAACTTCCTGTTAGCACACCTGTCAGCGCAAGCGTATACTTGCAAGGTAAAGTCCTGTGTTTGCATTAAATTGAATACCCCTTTCCTTGGGTGCTTGGTTTTGGGTGGCCTCTCTGATCACGCCGTTTCTGAAGTCGTGACAGCTGGAGCTATTTAGAGACCGCCGTTTTCACAGTGACAAACTGATTCTACGTGTGATGATAACATGAAGGATTCTGTTTCTCTTTGGGAACGGGGATTTCTTAGACTTGGAGATAAATTTTATCCCCGTTATGGTTGTCTTTGTGTGACACATGAAGGTCACATTATGGTTTGGGTTCTTACTTAACAGAGTGATAATAGGCAAATGACTTATTCTTCCTGAAGCTTACGTTATCTGCAAGATGTGGACGTAACACCTACCTACCTCATAGGCTTTTCATGAGAAATAATTGGACAACGTATATGGTTCTTGCTTTGCATATGATCCAATAAATAAGATACTCATCCAGCCATGTTGCTTTTGGCCAGAATACTTTCGCCATTTCTGCAGTTATTTTTGGAACCAGTGTATGAAGCATGCAATATTTGTCATGGTCTGTGGTTGCTTGCTACTGATGAAGATGTACAGTATCTACTTTGATCAGACCACCTGACATATTTAATCTTGAATGACTGAACTGTTAGAGTGAACTGCAGCCTCCAAGGGTAAAGGTTTAGTACCATGAGGATACTCCAATTGCTGGGGGCTTAGAAAGCTGTTTCCAAAGAGGAATTCCTTGTTGTTGTTACGTTAGCATTGTTATATGCGTGGTTTCCCAGAGTGGCCGCTTTGGGGCTAAAGATCGCTTAGAAAGTCTCTTTGTATTACACCCTGTCACCAGGGCTCATTGGGACTTAAGGCTTCCCGCAAGAGTGACCTTAACCTTGTTGGTGGCCTCGTTTTGCCAGTAGGAGCCAGTTAGCAGCTCCACCGTGTAAGCTGCTGTGGAGTGAACACAGGTGGGCTGTGTTCTAAAGTTCAGCTGCCTTCTCCTAGTTGTTTTTATTTTTTATTTTTTAGAGGAGGAAAGACCGAGAGACCGTCTGCTGGTTCACTCCCCAGATGGCTGAGCCAGGCCGAAGCCAGGAGCCTGGGGCCATCTTCCGCTACTTTCCCAGGCACGTTAACGGGGAGCTGGATCAGGCGTGGGGCAGCCGTGTGGGGTGCCGGTGTTGCAGGCGGAGGCCTAACCTGCGACGTCATGGCGTCGTCCCCTTAGTTGTTCTTAGGGCACTGGAGGGGAGCTCGGAGTTCTCGGCAAGTCAAGTCATGTGTTGGAAGAGCCCAGAACCATCATAGATTTTAGGGAGTAGCTGCAGATGTGGAAAGCCCGGGGGGTGGAAAGCTCGCGGTAGCGGCATGGATGGCGGCTCGCTTGCTGGGTGCTTGGCAGGAGTGCTCGCCGCACAGATCAGGGGAGCATGGGGAGAAACACGACACACACCTTTCCTTCAAGACCTTGACAGCTGCTAATGTGATTTTAGAAAATTTTTTGCCACACCTGACCATAAAAGGAGGATTACTCTGCCATGGGAAGTTGAGGACATCAGGATTGGGGATGAAGACTTCTTAACAGATTTATTTTTTTATTTACTTGAAAGGCAGAGTTACAGAGAGAGGAGGAGAGACAGATCTTGCATCTGCTGGTTTACTCCCTAAACGGCCGTATCGGCTGGGGCTGGGCCAGGGCCAGGAGCTTCTGCTGGGTCTCCCACGTGGATGCAGGGGCCCAGATACTTGGGCCATCCTCTGCTGCTTTCCCAGGTGCAGTAGCAGGGAGCTGGATCGGAAGTGGAGCAGCCAGGTCTAGAACCGGCATCCATATGGGATGCTGACCTTGCAGGCGGAGGCTTGACCTGCTGTGCCACAGCGCCGGCCCCAGTGATGAAAACTTAATAAGTACATTGAACTTTTAAAGAAGTATTCTTAAACTCTAACTGTCCCAAATGAAACCAAAAGGATGAGATTTTTAAAATTCCTTATTGAAAATTATCACTGGGACAGAATTTTATGAGTTGAGGTTAGTAGTTGACATCTTTAGATTTTTCTTCTGATTTGATGTCATGGAATCAAACAGTTACCCACTGTGAGCAGCTTTTAATGCTTTTTTAAAACTCATTCAGTTTTTATTTTGTGTGTGAAAAGCTGCATGTGGTTTTCCTAGTTGTCCGCCCATAGGGGTTCACAGAGCCTATGTGCACACGCGTAATGTTTTCATTTCCGCCGTGCAGTTCCCTCCCTAGACACTGTGCTGGTGTTTGTCTTGCGGCCGAGCTCGCCCAGGTTTTTCAATGCTTTTCCTGAGTTCCTCCTCCTTAAGGAACACCCTATACTGTACTGGAGCGAATGAGTCTGTCCTGAAACTTCCAGGCTTGGGTTTTGCACGTAGCATTTCCATTCCTGAGGCAGACGAGTGAGTCCTTTTTTCCCTACAGACTTACTTGGGCTCTGCCTTGTGGAAAGGAACAGGGTGGTGAAGGGAAAATAGTTTGAGACCTTGCCTGCTCTTAATAGGCAGTTTGTAACACTTAGACTTTCTCATGTTCACTTTGTGCCTTCCCTAATCCTGGCAGCAGCCTACTCAGTCAAGCACTGAAGACTTAACGTATGGAGTGTTTTGGAGGGCACTGGGGAAGAAAAATAACACAAGAGTGAGATTTGTGGAAAGTGCCTAGGGTGGAGCATTGGGAAACCTGAGTCCTGGGCCTGCTGGGGTCCCTGCCGCGGTTGGCCACGACCGGGACAGAAGTGTGGCCCATCACTGGTGCCGGCAGTTGTGTTCATTGAGGACACTCTGGTCTCAGGTCCCTTTGTGTTGTCATGGCTCAGGCATCTTGGAATACTGAGCTGATCTTAGTGCTTAGAGGTATTTCTCTCTCTTTTTTTTTTTTTGACAGGCAGAGTGGACAGTGAGAGAGAGAGACAGAGAAAGGTCTTCCTTTGCTGTTGGTTCACCCTCCAATGGCCGCTGTGGCCGGCGCGCTGCGGCCGGTGCACCGCGCTGATCCGATGACAGGAGCCAGGTGCCTCTCCTGGTCTCCCATGGGGTGCAGGGCCCAAGCACTTGGGCCATCCTCCACTGCGCTCCCTGGCCACAGCAGAGAGCTGGCCTGGAAGAAGGGCAACCGGGACAGAATCTGGCGCCCCGACCGGGACTAGAACCCAGTGTGCCGGCGCCGCTAGGCGGAGGATTAGCCTAGTGAGCTGCGGCGCTGGCCCAGGTATTTCTCAAATGATGTGGTCCCCAAATGTGAAGCCAACTGTAGTTGTTTTGGTATCCCTGGCGAATTGGTTCTAGGACCTTGCAATGTGCAGATACTCAAGTCCCATATATAAAAAGGCACAGTTGCAGGTAACCTGTGCGCATCCTCTCATATCCTTTAAGCCGTGTCTAGATTTGTTGTGATACCTGAGATACTGTAAATGCCATGTCAGTGGGTATTGTACTTTGTAATTCAGGGAACAGTGGCAAGAAAACAAGGGCTGCGCGTGGTCAGCACAGTCTTTCTTTTTCCCACAAATATCTTTGATCCACCATTGGTTGCATCTGCCAATGTGGAACCTGAAGGACGGGCCAACGTGTATACTTGGTGTTCAGCTGAAGAATCAGCGCTCTGTTCTGTCTCTGGAGGGAAAACCAGAACTTTGTTGTTATTAAGCGATGGCAAGCGAGTCTTTGTGAGGTGTCAATGCTAATGTAAAAGAGTACATGTTATATACTTCATGGGTGACAACTTCAAAGGCTGCTTTGACTAAGATTTGATTAGTACTGACTTGAGAGGAAGATGTTACTGTTTGGCTACCAGTTTCATCTGAAAAGCGAGCTAGTATAAAATGATCATTTACTGCTTTTCCACCCATATAGTGTGATATGATAAGATCAAAATCCAATTATGTATTTGCAGGAGACAACACAAGATTACCAAGAAGAGTTAGACATTATCTAGGGGTGGAGTGATTGTAGATGACGGAGCCATCAGTCTGTCACTTCCTGACACTGGAGTGCTCAGTGGTGTCTGCCTGCATCTCTGACTCGGGACGGACAGGGCTGTTCTTGAGCGCAGCCCACGGCCCAGGCTGGGGTAAAGGGCTTTCCGAGCTGGCGCGGCGGGGCGGGGCGCTGGCAGCACTTGCCAGGGAGTGATGCTGCCTCCCCTGAGGAGTGAGTCAGGCTTTCAGGACTGAACGTGGCTGGTGATTCTGAGTCCACTGCTACTGAGTCAGCTTTTCTTCTTAGTTCTTGTACCCCAGGATCTTATCTGTACCTTTCTCTTACTGTCGGAGGGCTCTGAATCCTGAGTGGGCCAGAAATATGACAACATCAGGAACACGCTGTTTCGAACATTGTAAAACAAGATGACTATAGAGATGCCAACTCAATCAGACTTGTTATAACGTGCTTAATAGTGATAGTTATTTTGGCCTCGGGAGTCGTGACTGTTGTGAATGACCAAATATTGGCTAATTTGACAGCAGAAGCAGCAGTGTTCTTGGTGAAACCCGGTCATTCACATTGTGTAGTTGAGGAGTGCAGGTACTGACTGGCAAACAAGA